CACACACACACACTCAAAAACACACACTCCCTGGAGCAGCCTGAGTAGGCTGCCGTGACATCACACCACATCCCACCACAAGTAGCCCTTTTATGACAAGGAAATGCATGCTTGTGTGGCAGCAGATAGCCTGAGCCCATGTGGGAAGGCAGTAAAAATTGATTGGGTTTAGGTTATAGGTTTGATGTATGCTGCTTGTGTGTGTTTGTGTTTGCTATCTGTTCAGTAAAAGGTTAACTGTGGCTCTTTTGCATGACATGATCCAAAGCATACACAGTGTTAATTTGCATTTGAGTGCACCGATGGTGAGGCAGTCTGTAAATGACCACTCGTATTTTCTTAATTTCGTTAACATTTTGAGCAAATATCAGTGTTTTGTTTTGTTGGGGTTTTTTGCTTTAGGAGGTTGGCTGCACATGTAAACATTAGTGTTGTGCATGTAGTTAAGGCAAACTGTCTGTGTTACCTTACATAACAGAAGTCTGTGCATTTTACTCCACTTTTTTTTAACCTTTATTATAAACAACAGATGTCTTTAAGCTTGAGGAAATAAAAAAAAAACGAATCGGTATTTAAATAGAATAACGTTCCTAAGGTGAAAAATCAAAAGACTTCAATTTCTTTTTCATAATAAGCTCAACATTAAGGTTTTGCATTGCTTAAAATTTGAAAAAGTTGTCTGTTCCTCATGATATTCATCACATATTTCACAAATTTGATTCATACTGCTGCTTAATCATTTCAGCCGTAGTTTATAATTATATGCACATCATCTCAAAGTCATTATGTAACAGCAAATCTTATCCTATAACAGCACCTTTAAATAGTTGAATTATTGAACTGGCTAATCTGTGCCGCTCTCTTGATCTGTCTGATCTCCTGTTGTTGCTGCCGTTCGTGATCGGCGCTTTAACCCTTAACTCTTTTGTTGGATGTGGAAGAAGCCGACAGCAGTCCATGGGTAATGTGTGGGATGAAAAATGTAATCATTCATTCCTGGGACTGTTTGATGTGGGATTTATGTCCCATATGATAAGTTCTGCCTCTGTAGAGCTTACGTTCTTTTCTCTCCAGCACTTCCTTTACGCTTTTGTTTTCTACGCCCACTTTATTAAGCTGAATACATGATAGGATTACTGTTTTGGAAAGTATCCCCATTTAATCATAATCACTGCTGTTTACCTGGTCTTTGTTAGTGCTTGATGTAGTCTGGGGGGATTGGCTGCAAGCATTCCAAGTTTTCTTCAGGTTGCATTAGTCAGCAGTGATGTGGTATGTACACACATCATTAATCTATCTTTGTGTGGCCCTTGGAGGGTGTGCTAATGATTGATTAAGCTTGGGTGATAAGAGCTTACAGAAACAAAATAATAACTCCCTAATATGTTATCTGCACACTCACCACATAATCTGAACTCTAGCTTTTGTATCTCACCTATTTTCCTCCACTTTTGAGCCACTATCATTCGTTTCCCTCTCTGATGTGATAAGGACTGGTTTGTGTCCTTGTGTGACAGGATTGCATAGTGGGACCCTTGGCTCTGGAGTGGCCATTGTGCGTGTGTGTATGTGTGAGTGGAGTGTGGGACAATGGTGGGAGTGGGGCAGGGCCTGAGAGTGATTGTGTGTGGACTTGTGGGGCTGGAGACCTCTCTTTATGATAATAATGGTGGGGAGCAGCTCATAGTTTGGAGGTGCTTTTGACACACGAAGAGACCGCACTTCAGCATGCCTGTGAAATGTGTGTGTGTGTGTGTGAGAGAGAAAAGTGAAGTAAATTTGGACATTTTGACCTGTTTGTCACCAGTTTTAAATGTGACTGTTTTATTCTTCTCCTTGTTTCCCTGGAGTTTGATATGGCAGGACTGGAGACAAAAGGGCTGTTTGTGACCAATGATTTGAGAGTGGATATTTCGCCATCCCTCCCTGTGTGGGTTCACATGTGTGATTGCTAGCATATGCTTTTCAATCTCAACTACTGCTGTGATGATAAGCACAGCGATTAGTCTTATCTGTGAAAACTCCCTTGCAGTGCTGACCACAGCAAAACCACTACCTCCTACTATCCAGTACAGTTTTACAGCCTGCTTTATGGGACAGAGCCCTACTGTGATCAGGCTCAGGAAGCATACTTTCCAAAGGTGTCGTATCATGGTAATTGTTCATGTGAAAAGGCTTGTAAATCTGCAGAGAATTGACTTCGATTGTGTGAACTTACATTTCTTAGAAATAGTTTAGAAACTATTAAGCTAAAGTTAGTAAAACAATAATGGACCAAAATTTTATGCAGCCCTTTATCCCTTTTATTGTACTTTTTATATTTTACATTTATATTTATTATTGAATCTTGCACTAAGGGAGTGGCACTTCGTTGTACTCTGTACAATGACAATAAAGGCTATTCTATTCTATTCTAATGTATCTGTGCAGCACAAGAAATGAACAGAAATACATAAAATTTAAAAAAAAGAAGTCTTTAGAAAATATAAATAAATAAATAACTTGACCTATATTTTATGCTTTCAAAACTAACTTCAGTAAAATAAAAATAAACTGGAAGTGTCTGCAGTTTCATTCTTTATCTGTGTGGTCAAATTTGTCAACCCAAGAAGAATCAGGAAGCTTTGGTTTGTGTGTTTATTGAGACACCAATGTTACATATATTTTAACACTTACTCTGAACTTCTGACAAATAACATTTCCATTGTAATCCATTTGCCAAAGCTGGGATCGATACTTATTTTCAGGTCCACATGCTCCTTTAGTTCCGAGCAAACACTGAGGTGCCACAGAGAGTTAAATATTCTTTCAAAGTGTGGCTCAAATGTCATCATATGGCAGGAGAAAGATGCAGAAAAGTTGGCAAAACCTCAGCCCACAAAACGTGTAAACGGACCCATCCATAACATGAGGCTAGTCATTAAATATGCCACTTCATGGTTGGCGTATTTCTCTCTGTATGAAAAAGTGTTCATCCCAAGCTTAATGTATTGCTTATATTGCTTGTTTTACAATCAGTAATAGGTTGATTTTCTAAGCAAGATGTTTCTAATGCACTTGCAGCTTCTTCTGTGTCACACTCTTTTTTTTATTGTAAAAGTTTTAATATCATGCTTTGTAGTTGACAAATGACTTCTGGTGTGTGTGTGCTGCGTGCGCGGGGGTGGGGTGGGGGGGTCGTCTTCAAATGTCTGTATTTAGCCAGGAATTTCACCAAAGGGAACAATGTGCTCAGCCAGTCGACACTAATGGACCTCCCCATCATTAGTCCTGTGCCGCCCTTGACCAGGGAGACCAGAGAGAGACAGCAGCCAACAAGGCTGCATTACCCTTGATAGTTCGAACGCCTCTGACCGCTGTCCAGCACCGCTCTCAGCACATTCACCCCCGTGCCCACCCACCCCCGCCTCAGAGACCCACACATTAACCTCACATCTGACCATCTAGTCCTGTAGTGTGCGGAGGAGGACAGAGCGAATTCACAAAGGCACTACATACCCTGGGTACCATTTGTTTCAGATCTTATGTTTGGGTATGCAGTTAAATGTATTTTTAAGTGCTTGCATAAAGTGGGCTTAATTTAATCAAGCATAAAACACATTTTTTGTTTATCAAACAGTCAGAAATCACAAGAAGATCCATAGATATCTTTTAAGATAGGTAACACAGTGTTTTTGCCTTGAGATTATATATACCAATCACTTACGTGCTTTGTCAGCGCCCCCACCCAAAAGACCCATTTTGAACCAGGAGAAAACCCAAAA